AACACGAAAGAACACGAACCACGAGCTCATGAACATGTTATCATTGCGATATTAACCCGAGACTAGATCAGAAGAAGGAATTTTTGTCAGTGTAAGAGAAAGTAACGGGGACAGACAGCGTCTCTTACTCAGCTGATGTTCAAAAAAAAAATTAGTTGCTTGTAAATTTATACAGCCTTGATGCTCGTACGCCTCAAAGGGTGAACTGTCTCTTGGCTGTAGATGAGATATTTAACGAGTGCAGTACAACCGCTAATCTGGGGTTTTTAACGTGCATCACGCAGTAGTAATTACACGAACGCGTGCCGGTACGAAACCAATCCAGATCGAAACGGGCAGGGGGAGGGGATCGAACCCAGGAGGTTCTGCAGCGCAAGCTTCCGCTCCAAGCTCCGAGCTGGGACGCGTTAGCCCACTCGGCCACCGATCTTCCTAGCTAATAATTTTATGCAACCAGCCTCCTTATATACAAAACTAGAACCGCCACAAAACCACCGAACATCCTGGTCTTCAAGGTCGCGCGCAACGCTGACCCCCATCACAAACCAAACTAAATGAGGCTACCTACAAAGCCCAACCACCTTTTGGTTCAGGCAAAAAACGTTCTACAGCTAGAGGTCACAGAAATATACAATGATTTTTAACCACCCACCCACCAAAAACTACCCACACCCACATACACACGCACACAGTGATGCCTTTAATTGGTTTAGAAGAAGAGCTTCTGAACTTTCATGTCAAAAGTTCACACCAACAAAACAAATATTTTTAACTGTGACAAACAGCCAAGGTTACACCCTTCACGCATCATCTACACAGTGATCTTTTCAATAAGGCCTTGAACGAACACAGCCTTTTTTTCTTTCTAGGACAAAGAATGAAGAAAGTCGACCAACAAAAATCATTCAAGCCGTTTCCATAAAAACTGGTTGAAAGGGAGCATTTTATATCATACAAAGTTATTAATATTCAAACTTAGAACAGAGCGCCGCACCACCACTGCTAAAGAGGAGCAGAAAATTGACGGGATAAAGACTCGGAGCTTCGAGCTTGATGTAACAAATGCACGGGTTACCTACCATACGAGATATTTGGAAATATAAAAGAGATCATTGGGGGGGGGAGGGGGGCTAACCTCGAAAGTGAGTTAAAGTACATAAGTTCACAGCTTGGAATACTCATTACTGTGAAAAAAAAGGTATTACACAAAGTATACCGTCTTGTTTCATTAAATCCCTACAAAGGACTGAACGTAGAGGTGGAATGTGGGTCCAAGAACTATTCGTGTACTTTTACCGTTGACTCCAAATTAGTTTGAACAACAACGCCCAAGAGCCAGGGTGGAAAGAAAATTTAAAGATTCTTTATGTCGTCATTAAAATCGAGTTTTAAATAATAACATTTGTCACGCAATCTTCCTGGTATTATCTAAATCAGTCCGTTCCCGAAGAACAGTTTCATTGATATTTGGTGTCTGGATTATTCGATCATTTCTATAAACACTTTTTTTTCTTAATTTATTTATTTGGCTCCTGCAGCGCCCGCATAGCCTTATCGCAGGACTGAATGGACGATGAAAAAGTAAAAATAACTTGTCAGAACTTTTGGCACAAACTATCACCTCATCTAGCGCATTCCAGTCCTGAACTATTTTAACAAAAAAAAAAAAAAAAAAAAAAGAGAAGTTTTAACGAAATAATTATTAAAGGAAGTATTTTTGTCAGGCTCGAGAGAAACGAAAATTGCCGCTCCCACATGATGAGAAAAAGCAAAGCGCTCAGTCCCCCTCCCCCCTCTCTCTCCCTTTTTTCTTGTCTTTGTTGCTCTACGTGAATTATTATTGTTGGCAGTTACAGATTAAAAAACTATAATTAAAGAGCTGACAAGAAGGCAGTGGCTTGCTTTCATCCTTTTTGGGCCTTTGTTTCCAGCACCATCGGCAGGTATCGGTAGTAGCAAGCTAGCGATGCCTGTTGATTGCTATCGTGCTGTGTGCGCATTATTCTGGCTAGCATAATCTTTAATGACATGCACGCATCGGGCTTTTTCAAGAGCCGCCAGCCGGCCGCATTTCAGCTGGAAAGGTCGCTGGGGTGTGGGACGTTTATATCGCTTATTTTCAAACTTTGGAATACCTAAGCTTTCAGACAAAATTTCAATACGATTCGAAAGTGGCTGCTATTTATTTGTTCACAAATTCGCAATCATATTTTATTCCCAAATATTTACTGCACAAATACGAGCATTCATAAAATGACAACAGGACGCTTAAGCTTATAATGCAATTAAATGTAAAGGTGCGAGCTAGCTGGTCAATAATTACGAAAATAATGGAGATATGTGTTTGCCTTTTGTCCCTCTTGTTGCCCTACTACAGGGAGTATTTTCGTCATGCTTAAGCTTCGCTTTTAAGAGTGAAACGCTATAGCTAAACACTCAAACCTTCGCTCGTTCCTAAGACGTACAAGCATATGTCTGCGTGACCTAGTTGGCAGTGTGTCTGGCTCGCAACCGAAGGGTCTTGAATTCTAATCCCACCTCCAACTAATTTGTTTTCTTTTTCAAATTTTTCTTTATAGCGAATGATTTACTTTATAAAGTGAAAACATTTGAGACACGCGGCGACCTTTAGCTGGCGTTGCACGTCATGGTTTAATCGCTTTCATTCCACGCGTGGAGTCACGTTTCCCCTAAGCGTTGTGCGTTGTCTGAAATTCGCGCGCGAAGTCATCTGGCTAGTAACGTCATAATCCTATCGACCAATCCTGGATTTTCCGGGCCCTCCGAGGCCGACCCCGGCTTTTCCGTGAAACCAGCAGCTTACAGCTATCGCTTTAATACGAGAATCGAACCGCGCCTCCCCACCTCCATCGCTTCGATCACCGGCACCGACTTGCTCGAAACTGCCATTGCTAATCGGTTTAGTTAATCCTTCGAATGTATCTATTATTGCTGTTATTGCTTCAACTCACGCCTCTTCGTGATGCTTGGGTTTTGAGAGTAAATAAATAAATAACTGTATGCACCCCACGAAATGTATTTAAATGAAATATCCCTTTACTTCATAAAATAATTATAGATATAAATTGGTTCTGATGTCCTTGTGTCTTTCTTTTTTTCTTTTCAAATATCAGGCGCATTGAAACAGAATAATGAACAGTCAGATTAAAAAAAAATCAACATATATCTAAAAATTAATTATTTACATCCCAGCTTAAATATAAAACCTGAATAAAAAATATGATTTGTCCTTTTTTTACACCAATTTCGTCCCCACTGCAACGAACCACTAAGGGACATGGGTTCTCAATAGCTCTAACAAATATTGAGGTTGGCTACACTAGCGAGGAAAGATGCACGGCTGGCACGGACGAAGAACCCGCATTGTTTTACCCTGTTATCTCTGTATGAGAAATTACTTCACATGCGGCAATCAGACCACCCACAAGGTTGATTTTCGACAGATTATTTGAGTGAATAAAAACAAATCTTGGCGGAGTTATACCTCCTCTCTAAAATGTATTCTTATTGTACCAATTTTATGTGCGCTGCTGGAATATGCGACAGACAGCTATCCAGGACCCATGGTTTTGAAGCGCTCGATTTAGAATTAAAAACTGCCAACGAATCTTTCTTTACGCTTTTTACTTCGTCACCAGAGGAAAACCATGCAAACCCAACTCATTCTTAATTAATCTTTTTCTAACTCAGTAAGGCCTTTCCCCTGCGCCTTTTTCGCAGGCGGGATTCAAACCCCGTCTGCCTAGGTTTTCGTTTTACCTCTCGAAATTCTTCTGGAGCGTTCCAAATAAACCTTTGGATTAATCGAGTGTTTTTGTCTAGACTCTAGACGGTCATCCAAAATCACTTCTATAAAGAGACCATAGGTGGCAACATTGGGGGCAATCTTACATTCCTCGTCATCACAATATGTAGTGTGGTACCTTTGTTGTTTTAGTTTCAGGCACGTGTTCGCTTCATTAAACATGCATTTTATGTTTTACATTCATCCCTTGTCTATATATTTGGCATTCTGATGGAGGTGCAGGAGGGCCATGTTCGGCAAGTGTTTCGTTTCTCCTAAAAAGAAACGGAAGTGACGGAACGGACGATATCGCGTCTGATTAGCTAGAGGCTCAAATGACCAAAGTTCCCTCTTTCGTCATGTGAGCTAGGCTCTAACCAATCGGACGCGATATCGTCTGTTACATCACTTCCGTTCGTTCTTAGGACAAGCGAAACATTTGTCGAACATAGCCCCCCCAGGTTAACGCCAGCTTCAGTTCAGCACTTTAGTGAAGACTACGCGATCGGTGGTGATGACGAAAGTGAAGACACGACTACGACCCGAGGCGAATAACCATGACGACAAACGACGGCGACAATAACGACGATAATAACACGCGCAGACGACGACAAGCAGCGCTAGCGAAAAACGAGGAAGGCCACAGATAATGACGACTAGCGATCAAGACGACAAGCAACGGCGAGAAGCGACAAGCGTCACTCACACCACCGGAGAACTAGAGCCAGCTGAAAATCATCAACTCCGCTCCTATAAACGTTTTGCACAGCTGTGCATGCGCGACACCATAACCGACTTTTGGTTTTCGTTTCCTTTTATTCCGCTTACTTCATTTTATTAGTAGGATAGCAGGCCAGGTTGCTGCCATCTTAGATTCCATTGTGTCATTCTCCCCTGCCATGGTTATGTGAAAGATCGTCGACACCCGTTTCAGTGGCTCGGTGTCTCGGTAAGACAAGAGAAGGTCAACAGTGGCGGCTGCAATCTGGCGCGTGTTAAAAGCATCTATAGAAACGAATACGGCAAAGGTTTTTATTGCGTTTAGATTTCTAGCCTGAAGTACACCACGGCGAACCGCCATATATGATCCTCCAATTTGGTAGGCACGCGATGCGCCTTAATATTAAACGGTATACATTTTTTGGCTACAGAGTCTCACAGAGTATGCACAAGAGACAAGCATCGGAGCGCCTACCTGGGGAAACGGCATGGGCGCCGACACCGGTGGTGGGTGCATCCTCGAGGGAGCGTCCTTGGGCGGGCCCAGGCCCGGGGACGGGGACGAGGAGGGCCCCACGGGGGGACTGGGCCTCAGCTGGGCCATGCTGACGGGGGGCCGGGACAGAGGGCCCAGGCCGTGCACGGGGGGCCCGGCCACCCCGCCGGGGGGCTGCGGGGCCCCTGGGGGACCGGGGGCCACGCCGCCTGGGTGCCCTGGCGGCAGCGACGGCACCAAGGGGGTCTGGAACATGGCTGCAAGAAGAGGGCCTCGGTCAGGGAGAGCCAATACCTTCACCCACACATTCTACACGTGGCATAGACGCGACGCTGTTGCACCAGGCCGCTTGTACTCGTCGAGGCAGTTTATCCGGAAGGTACGGTGCCCCACACATTCCCATTCGCCGAGTCAGTGTATGGGGCGGTGCTAAGCAAATCATTGGCCAGAGGCATTACCGAAGTGATCAAATAAAGGTTAGTTCACCTGCTCCCACCGTGCTATGTGGTCCCGGCCTAAACGAATTATGCACAGCCGCCTGAAACTACCGAGTAGAGTAAGTCTTTCATATGGTCGAAGACCGTACCTACTACGAGGTAAGGCAACGACAACGACCGATGATATTACTCCACTGCAAGTCACGTACACTTTGTTTCACCTCAGGCAAGAACGAGTGCAAGGTAATAGGAGGCGTACAAACACAGACGCACATACCAAAATCGGCTATTGGGTAGCAGTGTAAACTTGGCGGTCCGGCATATTTACTATTTCTCTCGCGCATTATCGTTTCTTTCTTGGCTCGAAAAGCTTTTGTTAACGTTATAAACGAGGCTTTCTTACAGGTATTACGCTCATTGGACCTCGGAAATCCCGCAAAACCTTCACTCTTGTGAAATGAAGTTCCAGGGTAATGGCATAGATAGCGCCACATTGCTGGTGTGTTCTCTCGTCCTAAGGAATTTTAAGAATTTTTAACAGATCTCGTCTCTCTCGGTCATAGTCGGGTGCAAGAGTGTGAACGGGCCTTAACGCTCACACATCTGCGTTGGTTGCGTTCGCATGCCACCGAAACGACCGTAACGACAAAATTACCGCGACAAAAGTTCGACCCTATACACAGCGTAGCAAGCGATGCAAGGGGTAGCTTCGCGAAGCATTCCAAGAGTAACTGTTGTTGCGGTGTGCTTCGGTCGTTACGGCCGTTTCGGTTGCATGCGAGTGCAACCGTGGCAAATGTCTGAACCAGATTTGAGCGTCCTTGGACAGTCGCCGAGGGACGCTGACAAACGCTAGTTTGCACCCATGAATCGCTCATGACAAAACGCAATAGGACGCCGCCTCACGTCAGCGCAGAACGGTCGCGTTTCGTGGACGCTAGCGGTACACGTAACAGAGCGCGTTGGATAAAGTACAGTTCACACGGAAAGAATAAAAACACAGAAAATATACGAGGGACAGACATACACAGTTCTTTCACGGAAAGAACTGTGTGTGCCTGTCTCTCGTATATTTTCTGTTTTTATTCTTCCCGCGTGGACGCTAGCGGAGGCGCCTCTTTTGTGGTGCCATCTCGTGGTCGTTAAAGCGTCCGCTGGCACGGAGAAATGAGCCTGTACGACCTTGTTGTTTAGGTTGCATTGCTTCGATCCGGACTGATGATTATGAAGAGTACGGGGTGCTTTGGGGAACGTTTACGTGTTTATGCGCGTCATTCCAAACAGAAACCCCATATTTTAACTCGGACTAATTTTTCTGCCGCCGATGTATTCTTTGTCAAACGCTTAAAGAGGCGCTCGGGCTTTTTCTTTAAAATCCCCGGTTTGCCCGATTCTTCGCTAAATACACCAACAAACATCGCTGAAATAGTAACCCAAATATCTCAAAATCATAATTTCTCGCATAGTAATTCCATTTAAAATTTTAATCCTCAATGAGTTTTTTTTTTTTTTTTTCAAAGTGAAACTTTTTACAGGCAACATTGGAGAAGTGACGTCATGGGAAGACAGGGGCAGTTGTTCTTTGGACTGTATAGACTTTCTTCCCCACTGAATACAAGCAGTTTCATGGCGTCAAATGAATGCTTTGAAAGCTCCCACCAGCAGCCGCGCAGCGGCACGAAACGAGTGCTCGGCACAGTCAGTTTTTAGACTACCGGCTTGACCTGCAAGCCTGCTTTCCCATGATATCACGGCATTGAAGAGCGAGGGTCTATTTGAATCTTGGTTTTGGCATAATTTTCACTAGCCAATTTCGCAATACCTATTTTGAGTTGTGCAATACCAAATAACATACCGGAAAGGGTAAAGGCCGGTGATTTCGAAAATATATAGTTAGTTGGGGTAGCTAAAAAAATCGACGGAGCACCCCATTGAGTTTATGGAACTAGGTGTGAAGTTTTGTGAACGCGGTATGTTTGATTCTCAAGTATCGTCAACTACAGCTTCATTAACAGTTACGCACTCCTGTACACTGCGCCACAGCGTTGGTGTGAACAAGCAATTACCATTTTTTGCTTGCTTTTGTATTTAAAAATCAAAGGTCTGTCATCCAGACATGAACACGTTACTGCTAATAATGCTTTCCTTTTTAATCCGTGAATTCGGGGATAAAGGTAACTATACTGACAAATATTGTAGATGAATTGACATTTGCTATTGAAGGATACAAAATAGAGCATTACTTATGTTAAGCTTGCCTGAGTATTTGTATTTGTACTGGTATCAACATCTGTTTTATAATCAAAATTGTTTGCTTGTTTTTGTGAACATGCCTTTTGTATTTTTGCTTTTACTAACTTATTATACTTTTTTATGTATAGCGTCACCCATTCCTTGTGCAATTCCCTGTCAGGGGCCCTCATGGTATTACAGGGATGGGCAGCATTTTGAAGGCAATGATTTGAAATACGCATTTAAAAATACTTTTGAGTACTTTGTATTTCATATTTAATAACATATTGGGGAATGTATTCGTTAACCGTTATTTAAATACTGCCTATTTATTATTTCAAATACGTGTATTTCAAACGCTACCCAAATACAATGCCGGGATCTGTTCTTCGCAATCAAATGCGATACTGGGACTCTCTCATGATGGGAATCACGGCAAAGAGTATGAAACTCGCTGCTTTTTCTGCACAATAATAAACATAAAAAAGGAGAGCAGAAGAATAAATGAACGATTGAGTACATTCATTGAAAGTTTGGTTGAGTGACTTAATATTTTAGCCCCGTCGCAACAATGTCATGTTGCTCGAAAAAAAAAAAGAAAAAGAAATTGATGCATCATCTCAGCTTTTGAAATTATTCTCGCACTCAATACAATGTTGTTGTTTTTCCTGGTGTTCCACCAACCTATCGAGGTATGGCAAACAGTTTTTACTTTTAGAGCTGCAACATTTTGCTTACTATATATAGATCTCACATTTTATCTGAGCATGGTCTTCTTTTTTACCTTGGTCAAATTTAAAAGGTGCCAGCCTATTTCACGGGTCTCCAAACTTTTTGATTAAGGAATCCGGTTTGGTGGTCTGTCTGAGTCTCTGATAAGGAACCCATTCGCTGTAGCCCTCCCCGTTTAATCTCTTTCACTTCTCCCTCGATTAAGAATATGATCACAGCTAGCGGAGGTAGGCGTGCTGTAATAATCATCATTTGGGAACGTGCTAACAACGCAGAAAAGAATCACGAAAAAAGCAAACAACTTCATGTAGTGTTTAATTTTATCTGTTCTTGTTCGAGCAATGAGGCGCGCACCACCATTTTCCCCTCGTCTCTGGTACTTATTTTGCGTGGCATTTTTAAAAAATTTTTTTTTTACCTTTTTACGTTGATAACATACATGCACTCCAACTGTCTCAGGTCCACGGAACCACAAGACCGAAACTGATTTTACCTTCAACTCACCTGAGCCCACAGGGGCAAAAAAGAAAAAGAAAAAAAAAAAAAAAGCGGGCAAAAAAATACATTAAAAGAAAAAAAAAAAAAGAAACAAGAATAGTGCCTGGAGCAGATGTCCCCACGGGGTGTCCCCCCCCTGCCCGAGCGGCAGAGAGCGGCATTGGCGTGGAGGCCAGCCTTTCCCTTTTTTAGGCGAGCGCCATCGACCAATGGCACCGCGAGGGAGCGGCAGATCGGTTCTCGTGACGTCAGGACCGTTCCGCACTGGCAATCGAACGCCCGGGTAGGGGGAGGACCCCGATGGCGACGCGGGGATCGACTGTACCCCAAGCGTCCCAGGACGGTCGAACGTGACGGCAGTCCGCAGAGCACGTGGTTCAACCTACCTGGTCGCTTTTCTTTGGCTTCTTTACCCTTCTGTCTTGTTGGCGAGGTAGACTCGTTTAACGTCCCAGCGGCAATGTTTGCCTAACACTTTGCTTCGTAAGACGCATACGAGGCAACTAGGATACTTTTCCCTCCAAGTGGGCCAATTTTCCGTTCAGTTCTTATTGCTTATCAATTTGTAAACGATTTGAGAAGCTGCTTCCGGCAGGTTTGCTGAAGGACAGCTTCTGAAATCGCGACGTTTCGAAGTACGGTCTTTTCTTACATCTGGAAGCCTAGTTTTTGAATACGGGATTTCTGAGTGTTGTGTTGTGCCCGTTACCAATAAAAAGGTAACGAAATGGCATTACTCGTCAGTTCGGTAAAAATCAACGCGTTATTGAGCTACGTTACTTTTTTACAAACATAACGATATACCGTTACCGTTACTTTTCAAAACTAACGAACCTTACTTTTACGTTACTTTTGTGTTCGAGTACATATGTTTGGCAGAGATGTACGGTAAGCCTCCTTAACAATCTTCGATAAAGATAGACATTTACAGAGTGGTTTTATAATGTTTCATATCGCTCCATAACAAGCGTTTCGCATATTCACGTGCCATTGGCCTTGACGCTGCGGTACAACACAGGGTGAAACTGAGTATAGATCTGCCATTGTGCTTAGTGACCTAAATTTAGTTCCCCTAACGTCTCCAGTTTTATGCACAAGATTGCTCTTCTAAACGTTAGATCTGGTGTTGGGACCTTTTGCCAAATACCTAATGTATTTCACCAGTTTTGGTCAAAAGTAACGAATAACGAGTAACGTAATTTAATAGCCGATACCGTGAAAACGTAACGGAAATACTTTACTCGTTAGTCATACACAATACTAACGAGTGCGTTACTGCGTTAGCGAAAAATGTAACGCGTTACCAGTAACGTCGTTACTAGTAACGCGTTACCTCCAACACTGTTTCTGACAAATGC